GGTAGAGTGCCGTGGGGTCACAGCTCACAGTAACCTCAAACTCCTGGGCTCAAGTGATTCCCTTGCCTCAGCCTCCCTAGTAGCTGGGACTGCAGGCGCTTGCCACAACCCCTGGCTATTTTTTGGTTGCAGTTGTCTTCACAGACAGTATCTCACTCTGTTACCCCAGGCTACAGTGCCATGGCATCAGCCTAGCTCACAGCAACGTCAAACTCTTGAGTTTAAGTGATCCTCCTGCTTCAGCCTCACGAGTAGCTGGGACTACAAGTGTCTGCCACATGCCTGGCTATTTTTTTTCTTTTTAAGGAGAGACAGGGCCTCACTCATGCTCAGGCTGGTCTTGAAAGAACTCCTGATCTCAAGTGATCCTAGTGGCCTCCCAGATACGATTACAGGCATGAGCGTCAACCTCATAGTCCATTTTGAATAGGAGTGTCTACTATGGTTATCCTGTCCGTGTCTCAGCACGGTTATCCTGTCTGTGTGTGGGAGGCAGATAACTTGTATTTTTAGGGGAGTGGTGTGCTGGTAAATGTTTAACAACTGGTCCCAAGGGAAAAAATTTAAAAGCCCTGATTTGTAGTGTTTGCCACTTTCTGTAGTATAAATTCTCCCACTGTGGCCAATATCAAGCTACTAATGTGATATCACTGAATGTGGAGTTGGGAGAAGATCTTCACAATCAGCTCTCATGAGTCAGAGTGAGCCGAAGTCCCCTGCACCTCAAGAAATGCACCAACTATAGCCTCAACTATATTTGTGCCTATTTCAGATGAAGAGACATTGGAGTTCAAGCCTGATCCTGATGCCATAATGCGATGAAAGTTTGGGGAATGGGGAGGGCTTAGAAGAGAGTGATTGTATTTTGCTTGTGAAATATTACGGGGTAGAGGGAAGGCAATGGTGAATTGCTATACTGGTTGCCCCCAGTACCTCCTGATTTTTATGCTTTTTGTCTAGTTCCACCCCACCCTGATTCTGGGCTTGGCTACAATGTCTTGCTTTGTCAGTGGGACATTAGCAAGCAAGATGTGTGTGTAGAAACCTGAGAATGATTTATACTTTGTCCTCTTGGAATCCAGCCACCATTCCTTAAAGAAGCTTAGGTTAGGCTGGGTGTGGTGGCTAATGCCTTAATCCCAGCACTCTGGGAGGCTGAGGTGGGCGGATTGCCCTGAGCTCAAAGGTTCGAGGTTCGAGACCAGCTTGAGCCAGAGTGAGACCCCATCTCTAAAAATACCTGGACACTGTGGCAGGCACCTGTAGTCCCAGCTACTTGGGAGGCTGAGGCAAGAGAATCACTCGAGTCCAAGAGTTTGAGGTTACTGTGAGCTGTGATGCCACGTCATGGCCCTCTACCAAGGGTGAGAAAATAAAACTCTGTCTCCAAAAAAACCCTCTTAGGCTAGACTAGATTATTGAAAGATAGGAGGCTTGGCTCGGCGCCTATAGCTCAACCGGC